ATTCCAATGATATTTTGCCAGAAATAGAAAAATAAACGTACTAAAGTATTTGCATGGGACCATAAAAGACCCTAAGTAGCCGAAGGAATCTTAAGAAAGAAAAACAAAGCTGGAGGCATCACATTTCCTGATTCCAAACCAAATCATGAAGCTACAGTAACCAGAGTTGTGAGCTAGTCACACAAAAACAGACACACGGATCAAAGGAACGGAGGGCCTAGAAATAAACCAAGGGTCAACTGATCTATGACAAAGGAGGCAAGGATGTACAGTGGCGCAAGGACAGCCTCTTCAATAAATGTGGTCGGGAGAATGGACAGCCACGTGCAAAAGGATGCAACCGGACCCCATCTCACAGATCACAAAATCAACTCAAAGCGGCTGAAAGATCTGAACAATGACCAGAAGCTGTAAACTACCAGAAGAAAACAGCGGTGGTGAGCTTCTTGACAAGAGTCTTGGCAATGACTTTTTGGATTTGACACCAAAAGCAAAGACAAAAAAAAGCAAAAAACAAAAACAACAATAACAATCCCCAAAACACAAAAAAGAAGAGGGGCTCCATCAAACTGAAACGCTTCTGCACAGCAAAGGACACAGCCAGCACGAGGAAGAGGCAGCCTGCGGAATGGGGGAAGCACTTGCAAACTGTGCATCTGGTAAGTGGTTAAAATCCCAGATATGTAAAATACTCCTACAACTCAACAGCAGAAACAAAACCCATAAACAGACCCCCCAAAATCTGATTTAAAGATGGGCAGAGGAACTGAACAGACATTTTTCCAAAGGAAACATACAAATGGCCAACAGGTACACGAAAAGTTCCTGTACAACATCGCTAATCATTGGGGAAATGCAAATTAAAACCACAGTGAGCTATCATCTCACACCTGCTGGAATGACTGTTACCAAAAAGACAAGAAATGACAAGAGTTGGAGAGGACGCGGAGAAAAGGGAAGCTTTGCACTACCGGTGGGAATGTAAATCAGTGCAACCACCATGGAAACAGTCTGGAGGGTCCTTTGAAAATTATGACTAGAACTGCCACATGATCCAGCAACCCCGCATCTAGGTTGCATCTCGTAAGGGATTGAAATCACCATGTCGATGAGACACCTGCACTCCCATGTTCATTGCAGCATTGTTCACAAAAGCCCAGATGTGGAAACAGGAACCTAAGTGTCCCTCAACACTTAATGATGAACGGATAAGGAAGATGCGACATTTATACATATGAAGAAAATGTTACTCAGCCGTGAGAAATAAAGACATCCTGCCATTTGCAACAATGTGAATGGAGCTTGAGGGTGTTATGCTGTGTGAAATAAGTCAGGCAGAGAAAGATAAATACTGTATGATATCCCTTATGTGTGGAAGCTAAAGATGTGGATCTCACAGACACAGAGACCACAGTACTATAGAGTACTATGGATTACTGGTCAGCGACAGAAAGGGACAAGTTATGGATACACACCGAGCTGACGAATCAGCAGAGAAGGGGTTCATGGTTGTCAGGGTCAGGGATGGACGTGTGGGTTTAGCTGTAAAGATGGACAGGTCTGCATCTTGACTGTGACGGAGGTTACACAAATCTACACACACACACACACAAATTGGTGAAATCTGAACAAGTTCTGCGTGCACAGTGTCGGCTTTCTGCCTGAGGCACTATCACACCACGGTTATGGGAGATGACACCACAGGGGAAATGGCGCGTGTAGGGTGCACGCAAGCTCTCTGTTGCTTTTCTAACAGCTTCCTGTGAATCTATAATTATGGGCAGGTAACTGGAAGGCTGGAGGCTCTTCATCCCTGAGAGCCAGGACTCTGTTTCTGAGCCCCAGGGCCTCTGTGCAGAGGTGAGAACTGCAGGAGAAGCTGCAGCCCAGGGAGGGTCTGGTGCTTCCCCAGTGACCGAGGGTATAAATCAGGCTTCGGGACTCCTAGGGCAGTGCGTGCCACGGGACTGCCTCCCCGGCCTTCCTCCCAGGTGGGGTGGGGAGGATGCAGGTGTGTGTGCAGGGATGTGTGGGGCTGTGCCCAGGAAGGGGGCACTATATTGTGAAGCCCCCTGTGGGGCCAGAACGAGGTACTGGACTTGAGGGGTCAGCGATGGGGACCACAGGGGTGTTCAGGCTGGGAGACAGCGGTCACTGCTCAGGGCAGCGGACCCTAGTGTGACGGCTTGACCAGCAGATGGATGGTGGTGAGGGTCCTGGGAGAGGGGGACTGGCTGGCCCAGGCCTAGACATGTCCCCAGCCTCATCAGCACAGAGCAGTACTCTCAGGCCCCAAACCCAGCAGAGCACATGGGAGTCCCATCCAGGGCAGGATGGGAGGGAAGGGCTGAGCCAGGTGCCTGGCTGACTGGCTGTGGCACCTGACGGGGTGGGGGCTATTGTTGAGCCAGGTTTAATGGGTCTTGCTGTCCCCACCTGGCAGCCTGCTTTCAGATGTGGTTCCTGCACACCCCGATAACCAGGGGCCCAAGCCCCAGGGATGTAGGGCAGAGAGCTGGGCCTGACCCCAGCCCACAGCTACCCTCTCTGGCCCTGCCGGCCCTGGGGTTCAGGTGGGGCACTGCTCATCATGCAGGACCAGCCCTGCGTGGGGGGCCCTCCCAGCAGGGAGCAGGGCTCAGACTAAAACTGGGTACCTGCCCTGTCTACACCGGGCTCTGTGAAGGCTCCTGAGGTTGGGTCAGACCTGCCCTACCCCGGCCTTAACAGCTCCCAGCCCAGTCCCCCAACTCTACTTCCACGACTGGACAGTTGAGCATCTACAGCGACTTCCTCCTACCCCACCTGGAAACCGGGCGCAGGTAGGGCGGTGACCAACAGGCTGGGGAGAGGTGTGAGGTTGTTGGCTTGCTGTGTGTCCTCAGGAAGAACACTGTCCTATTCTGGGCTGCAAAGTTCCAGAAACTCTTAAGACTTCGGTCATTTTAGAATCCGGGCACCCGAGGCTGGTGGCAGAGGAGGAGACAGACGCACACCCGCCCGAGGTCCGTCTCCATCGAGGGTGGGGGTGAATCAGCTTCCGGCCCCGCCCCCGGCCGCA